CATCTAATTCTAGCCTATGTATGTTGTATAAAATATGAAATTACAACAATCGCCAAGAGAGCGGGACCTGTCGGGGTTGGTGGTGGTGGTGACAGGCTTGCCGCTGGAGTCTAGGAGGGAGAGCTTATTGCCGCTTAGCGACACCGTGTAGCCGCCCACCGACAGGCTGCGGGCGGCGGGATTCACGGAGATGGCGGCGCCAGGCATGGGAGGGGCTGCCTGGGGAGTGAAATCAATGCTGCCGTCCGCTGTGAGGGTGAGCGGCGCGCCGGCGTTGATCATGGCACCGCCGCTGCCAACGATGGTGCCGTTCGGTCATCCAGTCATGTCCCCTGCAGTGTACGACCCATCCCCGTTAGGGCTTTTCGCCAGCACGAGCTTCATTCCGGAACCGTCCACAATCGTTCCGTTCCTCATGACTTTAGTTGTTCCCATAGCAAACAACGCATCTGTGCCGGAACCAAGGAAGATGGAAAGGCCGCCCGGACCAGTGATGGTGCCGTTCAGGTGCGCGGTGTACCCAGCCACCGTGGCGGATCCGTCCGCGTTAGAAGTGGGTGCGACAGTCGCGCAAGTGGAGTCAACAACGGCCAGTGACGGCGGGTTGGTTGCGGTGTTCACGGACGCGATGTACCTCGGACCGAACGTCAGGCTGTGAGTGGCCGACACGTAGGTAATGGGTTCGATCGCATCCTGCGCGACGGCGACAGACGCCGAGACGATTAGAGCGAGCAGCGGCAACAGAGGCGTCCCGCGCTGAGGAGGAGCCTGGCGCGCCATGGCTGGCGGGAGGTTCAAGTCGGACGGCTGGAAGCGACGGGAAATGGGTGATTAGGGTCGCTGACTCGACCACTCCCTCGCTCGATGTAATATTAACTCGGAAGGTCCTCTGCTCTTTGTAGAGGCTTGCACGGTGCGCGAGGCATCGACAGAAGGGCGGTGGAGCGGCATCGCGGGATAAGTGACTGCTCCGAAGGCGAGGCGGCGGAAAGAGGGAGAGCGGTTCTCCGAGCGAAGGACGGGATAGACCAAATCTGCTGGTCCCATACTGACCAAACGATGGCAGCCACGTTTGCTACCATCGTGAAAAGGCAAAACCCGATCGGGAACCCTTTTTTATCTCGTCACGTTTAGCTGCGCTGCCCGATTTCATCGCCTAAAAGACGGTGGCGTACTACAGGCACGAAGTCAAGGGGTTCTCACCATCCTAAAAAATGAGGGGACCAACTCACCCCAAGTGCCGGGCACCTGGAGTTAATCCTAGGCGGGATGTATGTTTGAAGGTTCTCGAAGTACAAGTTCCCTCCATTCCATCCCTCGAAATCTGCTACAAAATAGTCCAACACGAGTTGACGAAACAATCGCTAACCTACGAAACTGGCTGAAGTGGTAATTTCCTGGGCCTAGTCAATACTAATCGCATCTCCAAATTTGGGAGGTGGTAACTCACCCTCAGTTACCAACAAAGAAACTTGTTATGATTTGTACTAAACAGAATGTGCAAAAGACTTTATAAAAAGGATGTGAATACCGAATGAAGACACAATGAAGAAAGCGAGAAAAAAAGGGCGGAACCATCCTACGTGAGGACCTCGGGATGTGAGTGGGTTGGAAGTGTCGCGATCTGCTCGGAAGTGGTTCGGGCCGAAAACGTAGGCCGACCCATCTGATGCAAAGAGCTCGAGGCTGTCCTCGATAAGGGTAGCTTCAGCAGTTGGAGAGCTTATTGCGGCTCAGCGGTGCAGTGTCTAGGAGGGAGAGCTTATTGCGGCTCAGCGGTGGAGTCTAGGAGGGAGAGCATATTGCGACTCGGCGGTGGAGTCTAGGAGGGAGAGCTTATTGCGGCTCAGCGGTGGAGTCTAGGAGGGAGAGCTTATTGCGGCTCAGCGGTGGAGTCTAGGAGGGAGAGCTTATTGCGGCTCAGCGGTGGAGTCTAGGAGGGAGAGCTTATTGCGGCTCAGCGGTGGAGTGTCGGAGGGAGAGCTTATTGCGGCTCAGCGGTGGAGTGTCTAGGAGGGGGAGCTTATTGCGGCTCAGCGATGGAGTGTAGGAGGGAGAGCTCATTGCGGCTCTGCGGTGGAGTGTAGGAGGGAGAGCTTATTGCGGCTTAGCGGTGGAGTCTAGGAGGCGCCACAGCTGCCAATGATGAAGCCGTTAGGCCACCCAGTCAGGTCCCCTACCGTGTACGAGTTTTCGTTTTTCGTACAGCACAAGTCTCTGTTTTTCGTCGGCACAAGTTTTCTTCCCGAACCGTCCACAATGGTTCTGTTTCTCGGGACTGTTGTTGCTCCCACAACGAACAATGCGCATCAGAGCTGGAACCTTGAAGGTATATGGAAAGGCCGCCCGGACCAGTGACGGTGCCATTTGGGTACGCGGTGTACCCGGCAATAGTGGCGGATGCGTCCGCGTTATAAGTGGGCGCGACAGGCGCGCCTTTCCAGTCGAAAACGACCAGCGAAGGCGGGTTGGTGGCGGGGTTCACAGACGCAGTGTACCCGGGACCGAACCTCGGGCTCTGAGTGGCCAGCACGAAGGCGACTGGGGCGAACGTACCCGGACTGCCAGTGGGGCTCTGCGCGACGGCGACAGTCGCCGAGACGACCAGAGCGAGCAGCAGCAGCCGCGGCGGGTCGCGCAGCAGCAGCACCAGCCGCGAGACGCGCGGAGGAGCCTGGCGCGCCATGGCTGGCGGGGGAGGTTGTGGTCCGAGTTGGAAGGGAGGCCTCGTGACTCGCTGCGAAGAGAAAAGGGTAAACACGGTTGGCTGACTCGGCCGCTCGCTCGCTCAATGCACGCGCCGCGGCGGTGCGCGCTCCGGAAGTTCCTCTGCTCTAGACCCGGTACCACATGGGTGCGCGCGGGACTGGTGGTGCCACCACTGGAGCAGCATTGCGGGGGATGAGTGATCAACCTGCTCTGAAGGCGAGGCGGCAGAGACCGGTCTCCCGGAGACCAAAAGGGAAGGGCCTCGCTCGGGCCGAGCGAAGGACGGGATCATCCCGGAGCGGCTCTATGATAGACCAGATGTGCTGGTCCTATCCCGATCGCATGTGGCACATGCGCAGCCATCGCAAAAGCGCGGAACCCGATCTGGAAACTAAAGTTATCGCCACGCTCGGCTGCGCTGCCCACTTTCATCGCCTAGAATACTGTTATACCTGAAAGGCGGGCTACAGCGTGAGTCAAAGGCTAAAGGACTAGTAATGACTCCGCGTCCGACGCGTGTGTAAATTCCAGTCAGCATTGCTCGAACCAGACTGACTCAGCCAGTGTTGATATTGCGGTTGGTGGGGGATTTCTATCATCCCCCCAATTTCAACGACAATTTCACGCCTGCCCAGGCGTTGAAATTAGCGAGGGAAATTATTCGTTACACTCGAAAGTCTGGTGCTGGGAGGGTGCGATTGACCTATCTGGTGTGCGGGTTGTAACGTTTTCCTTTCGTTTTACCTCGCCCAATCGGATTTCCGGGGTGGGAACAGGTGGCCAGAATTTATCATTGCTCGAAGATTCTACTGAACAGTGACATTCTGTTTTGTCTTCAGCGGTTCTGCAATGATAACCTTCGGTTGTAAAACCGCTGTTCTGGAAACCTGGTTTCCGAAAAAAACTGGAAACTGCTGTTAAATCCGTTCTTTTGGTTTTACAATTCGACCGATAAAAACCGGAAACATTCGGAGATATGTCGATGTAGTATAATGGTCAGTATCTCCGCCTGTCACGCGGAAGATCCGGGTTCGATCCCCGGCATCGGCGTTTTGACTCAGGGACGTTTTGTTCAGCTTGATGACAGGACTACACCAGGAGCAATCTTGACACCACCCAACAAATACAACTTTTGTCAATTGTCATGGCTTTCCAAAGGTGCAAATTCTTGCTACAGGTGCGAATTCAATAAGATTATCTGCTTAATGCATACACAGCAAGGTGGACTCACTTGTCCAACACATGCAAAAGATTGACGTGACAGAGCCGAGTTTTCCCAACATCCTCATATAACCTTATTTTCCAAAAACGATACTTAAATTCATCTAGTGCTTTCTGGTACCGTATCACCCCGGATAGAAGCGCAGGCCTATTATAAGCGCATGCGCTTCTATCTGGAGCAATTCGCTTATGGCCGATCCTCAATTATAAGCGCACCCCCTGTGAAAACGTTACTTATTATAAGCGCATGTACAATTTTAAATTAAAATTTCTGTTCAAAACGGTAGCGAGTTTCAATTTTGAAGCGAGTACAATCTCATTTTCGCTGAGTTTGACTCTCGAAGACCTGACTGGCTGCGCGTCCAGTCAGGATGTGCTGGCATGACTGCAAAGTGTTGCATCTTGGCCCCTGTGTGCTGGAAGAAAATCGCTTGCAGGAGATTCTGCATTGTGAGGCTTCGACTCGGTTGAAATGGCAAGAGTGAAACATACAATTTGGTGTCTTCAATTTATAATTTCGTATATGTCATTATATAAGCGCATGCGCTTATAAAAATGACTCAATTAGAAGCGCACCCCCCTAAAAAACTCTGCTTTATTATAAGCGCAGGTGCGCTTCTATCCGGGGTAATACGGTACCACAACAATTCTCGCACAACAAAAGGACCTAACCTCGTAACGCGCAGGACTTGACCGAACAACCGCGTGCCCCAAACAAATGAAAGGATGTCTGCGGCATATAGCCATCTGTGGCTGGCACTGGAGTAGAACCCCTGCGGAGCCAGGTTTGGCCCTTGAAGAATAACGGTACAGGTACTGTCCAAAGTTATGGAACTTACATACTTCCGGAAACAGTGTCCGGGCCTCTTGCATCCAAGTGTATACCGGTGGAACTCAGCTCACGAATGGCCTGCAGAGAGAAGAAGCAAACACTTGACCGAGTGCAAGAAACATAAGAATACCATAAGCGATGGCTCTGTGTGTGGGAACCTGAAACAGCAGATTGCACTCGGTGAGAGATGCAGTGTGAAGCAAGCTGACTTTAGAGTCGACTCTAGAGATGCCCTCACATGGTTGATGGGGATTGCGAATGCCACTCCTTCAGCATCCGACCGGATGGCTGTTGTGATGCCAATGACCTGCAGCCACCAATCAGATCGTGCCATGTCAGCAGCAAGCTAGGCAAAGCATGACCTCATATGAGTTTATCCATACCCCTCTGAGTCTATTCTGTTCACAAGGGGACTGCCAGATCTCCCCGGGTTGATGGGGTAGCCAGTCAGCACAAGGCATACAGGGAAGCAGCTCTACAGAGCATTACACCCCTCACCGATAGGAGGGCAGTGGGCACACAGCACTTAGGGGAAGCTTGAGAGTGCAGCTCGCACCTCCACAAAATATGTTTACAAAAGGACTGCCTGAGCTCTCCAAGTTGATGGGAGGCCAAGCAAGCAGCAGGTGACATACAGGGAAAGCAGGCTTGCACAGCAAGACACACTTCAGCAGAGGATTGAGAGAGGAGCACCAACTCACCTCTCCAAACTCGTTCACAAGGGGACTGCCTGACCTCGTTCACAACCGACTTCGCTACACAGCAGCACACACCTCCCCAAAATCTGTTCACAAGGGGACTGCCTGAGCTCCCCCGGTTGATGGGAGGAAGCAGACTATGGCGTGTAGGGGAGGCAGCATATGGGCGATAGCAGCCGGTTGAGAGAGCAGAAGGTTGAGTTAGCAGCACGCACCTCCCCAAACTCGTTCACAAGGGGACTGCCTGAGCTCCCCGGGTTGATGGCACAGTCGGTTTGGAAGAAGTGCAGCGAGGAGTGGGGCACTCCCACCTGGGAGGAGAGGAAAGGGAGAGGGAGAAGTGGGGTTGGGAGAGGGAGAAGTGGGGTTGGGAGAGGGAGAAGTGGAGTTGGGAGAGGGAGAAGTGGAGTTGGGAGAGGGAGAAGTGGGGTTGGGAGAGGGAGAAGTGGGGTTGGGAGAGGGAGAAGTGGGGTTGGGAGAGGGAGAAGTGGGGTTGGGAGAGGGAGAAGTGGGGTTGGGAGAGGGAGAAGTGGGGTTGGGAGAGGGAGAAGTGGGGTTGGGAGAGGGAGAAGTGGGGTTGGGAGAGGGAGAAGTGGGGTTGGGAGAGGGAGAAGTGGGGTTGGGAGAGGGAGAAGTGGGGTTGGGAGAGGGAGAAGTGGGGTTGGGAGAGGGAGAAGTGGGGTTGGGAGAGGGAGAAGTGGGGTTGGGAGAGGGAGAAGTGGGGTTGGGAGAGGGAGAAGTGGGGTTGGGAGAGGGAGAAGTGGGGTTGGGAGAGGGAGAAGTGGGGTTGGGAGAGGGAGAAGTGGGGTTGGGAGAGGGAGAAGTGGGGTTGGGAGAGGGAGAAGTGGGGTTGGGAGAGGGAGAAGTGGGGTTGGGAGGGGGGAAGGAGGGGTTGGGAGAGGAGAGCTGGGCGGGTTGAAGGCACAGTCAATTTGGAAGAAGTGGAGTGAGGAGTGGAGCACTCCCTTTTGAGGCGCCTCAGGAGTGGAGCACTCCCTTTTGAGGCGCCTCAGGAGTGGAGCACTCCCTTTTGAGGCGCCTCAGGAGTGGAGCACTCCCTTTTGAGGCGCCTCAGGAGTGGAGCACTCCCTTTTGAGGCGCCTCAGGAGTGGAGCACTCCCTTTCCCTCCCCTGAGCACCAATGCAGTGCACACTGCTGCTGATGACACTCACCCTCGCACTCACGTGCAACCCATGCGTCACATTAGATGGCCACCCTCACACCCTCTCCCTCCCCTGAGCACCAATGCAGTGCACACTTCTAACCTCACCTGAGCACCAATGCAGTGCACACTTCTAACCTCACCTGAGCACCAATGCAGTGCACACTTCTAACCTCACCTGAGCACCAATGCAGTGCACACTTCTAACCTCACCCGAGCACCAATGCAGTGCACACTTCTAACCTCACCTGAGCACCAATGCAGTGCACACTTCTAACCTCACCTGAGCACCAATGCAGTGCACACTTCTAACCTCACCTGAGCACCAATGCAGTGCACACTTCTAACCTCACCTGAGCACCAATGCAGTGCACACTTCTAACCTCACCTGAGCACCAATGCAGTGCACACTTCTAACCTCACCTGAGCACCAATGCAGTGCACACTTCTAACCTCACCTGAGCACCAATGCAGTGCACACTTCTAACCTCACCTGAGCACCAATGCAGTGCACACTTCTAACCTCACCTGAGCACCAATGCAGTGCACACTTCTAACCTCACCTGAGCACCAATGCAGTGCACACTTCTAATCTCACCTGAGCGGCAGTGCGGTGGAGGCTGCTGATGACGCCCAGGCTGATGCTGCCCGAGTGCCCCACGCAAACCCGTGTACACCTACCTACCTGCTCTCCCTCTCTCCCACCTCGCACTCCCCCAATCTCACCTGAGCGGCAGTGCGGTGGAGGCTGCTGATCACGCCCAGGCTGATGCTGCCAGGCAACCCCACAGGATTGCCCACCGAGATCACCCAATCAGCAAGCTCCACGTCATCACTGTCACCGATGGGCGCACAGGGGAGACAATCCTCCTCCCTGCTGCCCCCTTCTCTTTGACTTCCTCTCTCCCCTCCTCTCTCTTGTACCTCTACTCTCGCTTCTCCTAATTTGATTGCTACGGCAGGGTTCTCGTCCCATTCCCCCTTGTGAATGTCAGTCCCACCCACTTCTCTTGAACCCACTCCCCTACACACATCCACACGAATCGTTACTCCCACTGACCCAGCACTCTCTTCTGCGGACAAGCCTTCCCCATTCGCTACCACTGCAGCCCCCCCCTTCTCTCCTGCTACAGCCGCCCCCCTTTTCACTGCTGTTGCAGCCGGCTCGTCAACCCCGTGCAGGCCGGAAAGAGGGCCGGCACTTGGCCCTCCGGTCAGCAGCCTGTGAGTCACCTACTGGGCAGCAGCGGGTGACAAGGGAAAGCAAGGGAAGGAATGCGTGAGTTGAAAGAAACATGTCTGTTGCCGACCAACCAACCACCTTCTGGTCAAAGCCTGTGTGTGAGTCACCTACTGGGCAGCAGTGAGTGGACACGGCAAACCAGAGAAGGTATTCTTGAGTTGAAAGAAACATGTCTGCTGCCGAGCAATCTTCCCCCTTTCGGGTCAACAGCCTGTGAGTGACCTACAGGCAGCAGCAGTGAAGAAAGGCATGCACTCAGTGAAGCAATAATATGTATGCAGCGAGGGACAAACAGATCCTTGAAACTGGACCCTCAGTCGACGCAGCATGGGTCTGAATGTGCATGCCACAGTTGGATGTCATCAGCGGTTCCCAATTCAAGTGTGGCCACCTCACTCTTCACTCCTGCTACAGCCGGCCCCCCTTTCACTCCTGCTACAGCCGGCCCCCCTTTCACTCCTGCTACAGCCGGCACTTCAACCCCTTGTAGGTCTGAATGTGCATGCCACAGTCGATGGTCATCAGCGGTTCCCAATTCAAGTGTGGTGCACAAAAGAAATGCATGACTAAGTATGGATAAGAGAGCAGATGTAGCTTGAGCACTGGGTGGGAGGTCAACAGAGGGATGAAGTATTTTAAATCGACTCAAAAGGTGTGTTCTGGGTCGACTCAATAGGTGTGTGACTTGAGTCGACTCAATAGGTGCGTTCTGGATTGACTCAAAAGGTGTGTTCTGGATCGACTCAAAAGGTGTGTTCTGGATCGACTCCAAAGGTGTGTTCTGGATCGACTCAAAAGGTGTGTTCTGGATCGACTCAAAAGGTGTGTTCTGGATCGACTCAAAAGGTGTGTTCTGGATCGACTCAAAAGGTGTGTTCTGGATCGACTCAAAAGGTGTGTTCTGGATCGACTCAAAAGGTGTGTTCTGGATCGACTCAAAAGGTGTGTTCTGGATCGACTCAAAAGGTGTGTTCTGGATCGACTCAAAAGGTGTGTTCTGGATCGACTCAAAAGGTGTGTTCTGGATCGACTCAAAAGGTGTGTTCTGGATCGACTCAAAAGGTGTGTTCTGGATCGACTCAAAAGGTGTGTTCTATCTGATTGGAGGGCTGTTTTGGTCGACACAAAACATGCCTGAATGAGTATGGATGAGTGAGCAGATGTACTTTGAGCTGACAGCATTACCTTGAGCACTGCGAGGTCTGCAGAGGGATGGAGTGCGGTTGATTCAGTGGCAAAGCGACGGCCGTCGGGAAGAAGCAGCTGATGCGATGACGGGTAGGGAGGGAGGGAGGGAGGGGGGGAAAGGAGGGATGGAGGGGAGAAAGAGGGGGGAGGGGAGGGATGGGAGGGAGGGAAGGGAAGGACGAGAGAGAGAAGGATGGCAGATGAGTGAGCAGTGAGACAACGACCATCAATGAAATGAAAGGAAGCTGGCTGGACGGAGGGGAGGTGGGATGGGGGAATCAAACAGGAGACATTGAAGGGAAAAGCAGGTAGGGAGTGCAGAAACACAAACGGGTGAGTTGCATGGAGGGATTCATAAACGACCCGAGCCGAGGTGCAGAAATCGAGAAACCATGTCACTACAGCGTTCAGCAATTCAGCACATCGGCTCTCCAACCACTCGTGCCCACACACAACCTTGAATGAACTTCTTGGCTTGGCAGCACGCACGCACAAGGGGTTGGGTTGTGCTCCTCGTCCGTTTTTCCTTCTAGTCCTTGAAATGGTCCGATTTCTGCACGTACTGTCCTTGCTGCCACTTCTTTGAGTGGATTTTTGGGACTGCAAACTGTAACGTTGTTGAAATAATCACTCTCCCTGCCTAGCGTCTCCCTTGATGCCTCATCCACCACATGCGTGTTGGTGAGAGGAAAGACTGATCATGCAATTATCACACTGCAAGTGCATCTGCATCTGCATCTGCATCTGCATCTGCATCTGCATCTGCATCTGGCTGATATGCATAGGAGGATGCAGTCAACGAAATTCTCTCCCTTTCCCTCCCCACCTAGCCCTACCGTCACCCTCGCTACCCCATCCACCACATGCGCGTTGGTGAGAACCAGCCACTGAGCACCAGCACGTTCCTATGGGCATTGTGTGCCATCCATCCGGATGAGAATTCCCTCTTCTTCACCCCCCTTACCGTCACTCTCGCTGCCCCATCCACCACATGCGCGTTGGTGAGCACCAGGCGCTGAGTGCTGTTGACGATGAACCCACTGCCACTGGTGGGTGGAGACGGGGGAAACAGGGGGGGAAGAAGGGACGTAAGAAAGGTTTGAAGAGCGCCCTATATAGAAATCATGCTGAGGTGATTCATAACAAGCCGCTGAGTGCTGCTGATGATGAACCCACTGCCGCTGGTGGGTGGAGGAAGTGGGGGAAGAAGGGGGGGGAATAAGGGGGGGAAGAAGGGGGGGAATAAGGGGGGGAAGAAGGGGGGGAATAAGGGGGGGAAGAAGGGGGGGAAGAAGGGGGGGAAGAAGGGGGTGATAAGTGTTGAGGCGCCTCAAAGGACACGAGCCTTGGTTGGAACCAGTCGCTGAGTGCTGCTGACGATGAACCCACTGCCATTGGTGGGTGGAGGAAGAGGCGGGGAAAGGAGAGAGGGAGGGAAGGACCTATAATGGTTATTACCAGGTGGTTGACGCACCAGCCGCTGAGCGCTGCTGACAATGAACCCATTGCCGCTGGTGGGTGGCGAGGAAGGGACAAAGGGATGGAATGGGGGCGGGTGTTTTTGAGGCATCTCACAGAATACATTTACATTGGTTCTTTCACCAAGTGGCTCCTCCACCAGCTGCTGAGTGCACCAGCTGCCGCTGATGGGTGGGGAGGGAGAAAAGGGATGAAAGTGTGGGAGGGAGGGAAAGTGGGAAGTGGGACGGGAAGGGAGGGAGGAAAGGGGGGCGGGAGGGAGGTTGAGAGGGAGGGAGGGAGGGAGGGAGGGTACCAGGCGGATAGACCCATGGCCACTGGAAGAGTGAGGAGGGAGAGCTGGGGGGGGGGAGGGAGGAGGGGCACGGGGGGAGGTGAGGTGGGGGAAGTAGAAAACAAGGAGGCACACGTGGAAAGAACCTCTGAACTAGCATGAGCAAGCATGCATGGAACAAGCCTTTATGGAAAGCCGTTACAAGCGGCGCTTGATTCCACTCCGCTACAAGAGAGCTATTATGCAAAACCGGTTGAGAAGAAAGCAAAGGCGGACGCAGGGCAGCTAAGCTCAAACACTAGTTTCTGTGTACGTCTCGGGTGGCCGTGCCTTGCCCTTCTCCTTCAACTTGGCCTCCATCCTGCCCCTCTCCCTGAGCCTGCGCAGCCACGCCCCACTCGAGGCACGTGCATTCAGTGTGTGGCAATGACAAGGACACTGGTGAAAGCAAGAGAAGCAAAGTGGACTCCAGTAAGGCTCACACACTAGTTTCTGTGTACGCTTCGGGTGGGTTGGCCTTGGCCTTCTCCTTGGCCTCCATCCTCCCCCTCTCCTTGAGTCGGCGCAGCCACGCCCCCACTCGAGGCTTGTGCGGCCATGAGGATGATGCCAGGCGAGTGCAGCAGCCATCCGCGCTGCTGCAGGTGCTGCAGGTGCTGCAGGTGCAGCAGGTGCATGATATCGGATCAGATCTTGCCAGGAACATCACATCGTCTGCGGGAGCATGAATGCAATGCAGTGGGTTGGTTGCAGTGCACGTTGGGACGGGAGGGTGGATGAAAAGAGCAATGTGAAAAGGTGCAAAGTGGGGGGAGGACGGAGAACAAGGCAACGAGGGAGAGCAAATGGGAACAGTATGTATGGGAGGGCATGGGTCACAGTGTGTAGCGTCAGAACTTGAGCTTTGAAACGATGAATTAGTAATGAGCTTGAAGCTCTTTAAGTACATCCGTAATGAGCAAGGCATGGATGGGGAGGGAATCAGGGGCAATCTCTAGGGATTGGGGGTAATCCCAAGGCAATCTCCAATTGGTGGGTTGGAGATTGCTTGGAGATCACATTTGGTTTTGGTTGTGATGTGGGTGTACACCCAACCAAACCCCAAGTGCAAACTACACTACACTAAACTAGGATATACAAAGTACAAGTACACAAATGTGAGATTGAGGGCTAACACTAACATGTAGAAACAAGAATCGCATGTTTCTACGATGTAACCTGCTCGCATTGCAATACTGCTGTGCTAACCCCAACCCACCTGTCTCCCTGAACTCATCCCCCTCTCCGCCATCCATGCTGCCGCCGCTGCTCCACTTCTCTGCCTCCTCGCTTCTGTCCTCCTCGCTTTTTCTCAAGGTGGCTTGTGGAGATGCCCGAGGAAGGCGCCTGGAAGCGGGAGAGGGACATGCACGCGAGACGAGTGGCAGGTACAAGGCGTGTCACAAATCGGGTATGGCGTGCATGCGAGCGTGTTTGTTTGCAGGCAGGGCCTGAAAAGGATGATCATGCTTAACAATTAGTGAGGACTTTAAGGAGGCTCTTTAACTGTGAATATCAACACCCTGTGAACCACCTCCTGTACACAGCAGACCCTTGTAACCATGTGTCTTGGGTTCCACTCAAGAATACCTTGAAATCTATTCGTCGGAAGGAAAAAACAGAGCATCAGAGCATACCTTTCCACCTCTAGTTGAACGACAGCTGGCGCAACGCGATTGGCTGCAAGCCGAACAAATGAATTGGCCTTAAGCCTCCTGCCCTTCTTGTTTCCACGCGCTCCCACTTGGCTAGCTTGGACTGTAGCTGAAGAATCAAGTGTAGCGGGAGATTCAACTAAAGTTGAAGATGTAAGTATAGCCGACGGATCAACTGAAACTGAAGATGTAACTGTAAGTGTGGCTGCTACTGCTGGTGCAGCCCTCACTCCCATGGCTGCAGCACCCATCAGGAATAGACTAGACAGTAGCAGCGCACGCACTCCACTCCTCAGGAGTTTGCTGACATGGGAGAGAGCAGCAGCGATGCGGCTGCGACGGGAAAGAGCAGCAGGGACAATGCGGCTGACGGCGGTGGTGAATTGAACAGGCGAAACAAGCAGCGCCACCAGTGGCAGCAGCGGAAGCAGAGGAAGCAGCGCCACCAATTGCAGCAGCGAAAGCAGAAGCAGCAGAGGACGCAGAGGACTGTCAAGTGAGGGGGAGAAGAGTGTCCGAGGCTCGAGCAGAGGCTCGGACCACCCCACTGTGACAGGCTTGGGCGGAGGAGGCTCGGGTGAGGATGGCTCATGTGGGGCACTGGCGCCCAGCCTCCCCTGTTGGAGCAACCATGTGAACGCATGTGGAAGGGCGGAGGGGAGGGAGGAGAGGAGTGTGGACATGGGACCCCCATCCTCCTGTGCGGGCGAGAGAGAGGTCAGGGGTGGAGAGGAGTGTGACGCGATGGTGCGTACTCGTGTGAAAAGACGTTTGGATGGTCGGTTCAGGGACGGATGGAAGGGTGCAGGGAGGCATGGGCGGGCGAGGAGCAGGGAGGCGGAATGAGGACGCGAGCAGCTGCAAGGACGGGAAGGACGGCGCTGCTCTGAGGGTCGGACGGTTTCTGGCCCTCTATTGTAGAACCTGCTACGGACTCGAGGCGCCTTGCGAAGGGACTCGGGAGCAACCCGTCGAGTCTTGGACGCGTGGATTGTGCCTGATCCGAGCGCTGCGTGAGAAGCCATTCACGTTGATATGCGCATGCAAGTGCGCGGCGTCGCGCGATGCGTGGTGGACGTGCAGCGGCACTGCGGCGCCGACGCTTCTGTACTCGCCTACACGCCGTAGAATCTGTCTGAGGAGCGGCGACAACAAATTGAGATAAGCTGCTTCTTTACTTTCTTTCTTAATTCTGGCTTCTAGCTGCGCTGGAGCATCTTAGTCCGTGCGAGAGGGGGCCGTCCTAGGGGCTTCTTTTTGCGCTCGCCTCAAGGTCTAGTAACGTATCTCAGCTGATCAATCAACATCAGGAATTCATCTGAGGCGTCCATTGATATCCCGAGAGAACAATTTTTGTCCTTCCCTTCAAATCTGCTAATCTAATCAAGCAGCAGACGGACGAATTTCTGTCGGTTGAATTCGTGGAAATCGAGACTTTTCGTTACCTGCGAGATTGAGGCTCTTGGTTACCTGACATTCGCGACGTAGTTTTAGACTTTTCGACGTAGTTTTCGACTTTTCACGTTACCTGATTTATTCCCTGTTACGGGCTTTCCCCAAACCCTGACTGGGGATGCTTTTGTTCGCAAAATCCTTTCGCGAGCATCACCTTTGGGTCAGCGATAAAAACCCGAAGGCTAGTAAAAACCCCGATACTGCACGTCGCGACAATAGGTTCCGAAGGCCTAGCAAGCAAGGAGTGGGGAGGAGAAACATCCCAAGGCTTGTTTCGTCCCCGAGTTTAGAAGCTTTGATTGAAGTCGGAGGTTAATGATTTTTTAGTCGGAGATATTTCTGCATTCGTAGGTCAGAGTTGGAGACACCCTTTACTCCGAACAAACAGATAGTCCTTGGTAAGGGTGCCCCTCAGCCTTAGCAAGAGCTCTAATCTCGCAACCGTCCGTTTCGAGGCACCGAGAACCAGCCTTTTTTTTAGTTAGAGTCTGAATCGCCTCCATTGACGGACACACCGACAATCAACCTCGATCGACTCGCAGCACCCCGCGCTTCGCCGTTTTAGCGAATTTGGCCTCTAAATTGTCGGTAGCTCCGCGAGGTCTGATTGCAGCTAGCTGACAGCTCGAGCCACGACTTAAAGGCAACAGCTTGTAGGCCGGAGGTAGCGGCGAGGTATTCACGATTGTTTCGTTTCAAGCTATCCGTTCCCGAGAGACGTTGCGATGGCGCTCGAAGCGCCTCCATTGTTCTCGTCGAAATTCCTTCAGAAAGCAAGAAAATCTAAAAAGGCCGCAGCCGGATTGGACGGCGGGACCGACGCGAAGTTAATAGAAGATCAGTTACCGGCAGCAGGCCCGGGTACTGTTGGGAAGGGTCGTGGCGGTAAGAAACGGAAAGCAGGGGGGGCTGACGATACGGATAAGGCTAAGACTGGACGCCGAGAAATTCCTTCTTCAGGCTCGCATAAATGGGCATCGGGTGGAGCTACGTTGACCGCGCGCAGGGTTCAAGGTGTAGGGTTTAAGGGGGAGAGGGGAGGAGACGAGGAGGATGGTTTTAGAGAAGGCGGGGTTTTGCGCGGAGGCGAGGAGGCGCGGAGGGGTGTTTGTGGTGCTGACGTGGACGAGAGTGGCCGTACACATGGCGACGTCAGGGGCAGTGAGGAGGGAGGTGACGTCAGCAGAGATGGCATGCAGGCGGGGGAGCCAATGGGGGAGAAGGGGCGCGGGGGACGGCGGAAGCGGATGGGCGGGGGAAAGAGGGGGAAGGCGGGGGGCGATGGAGAGGTGGATGGGGAGAGGGAGGAGGGGGAGGAGGATGGGGAAGATGGAGAGGAGGGAGGAGGAGAGGACGAGGGGGAGGTGGAAGAGGAAGGGGAAGAGGAGAAGGATGATGGTAGTGAAGGGGACGAGGAGGAAGAAGAGGGGAGGGAGGAGAAAGAAGAGGACGGCGGAACAGAGGAGGACGACGGAGCAGCAGCTGCGCTTCTCGCCAAGGCTGACGTGTCGCTCACTGCCACTGCCACGTGTGACTCCTTTGCTGACCTGGCACTGGCGCCATGGCTGGTTGCCACGTGTCACGAGATGGGTCTACGCCATCCCACCCCAGTGCAGTGTGCATGCATTCCCCCCGTCGTTGCGGGCAGCAACGTCATTGGTGTGGCGCAAACGGGAAGTGGCAAGACCGCGGCCTTCGCCCTGCCTATTCTGCAGGTGGGTTCTTCACTCTGAAACCCCAAGCCTTAAACCCCAAGCCTTAAACCCTGAGCCTCCCTGCAGTGTGCAGTGTGCGTGCATCCCGCCTGTCATCGCTGGCAGCAACCTGATTTGGCTGGCTCAGAACGGCAGTGGGAAAACGGCTGCATTTGCCCTGCCAATTCTGCGAGCCCGAACCCTAGTCTGGAGCCTGAACCCTTGAATCCTTGACCCCTGTACAGTGTGCGTGCACGCAGCACACATCAACGTCGTCATCTCGCCTAGACGGCCATGGCAAGACCAGAACCCCCTTCCCACTTGGTTCACCGTTCAACCCCGCCCTGCCTTTACTTGTGCAGAAGGTAGCGGAGGATCCCAGCAATGACTTTGCACTCGTACTCAACCCCACACGGGTACTTTTGAGGCGCCTCAAAAACCCCACACGGGTACTTTTGAGGCGCCTCAAAAACCCCACACGGGAACTCTCGCTGCAAATCGCCGACCAGTGCACTGACCTTCGTCCCCTCAATGAGAGATCCCCTCAATGAGAGATCCCCTCAAAAATCGCCTCATCACACACGTGCAGGGAGCTCGCGCTGCAGATCGCCGACCGGTTCCGGACTCACCTCTCTCCTCTCCACCCACTTCTCCTTCCCTCGGCACCCCTCCACCCGCCCCGGCTTTCCCTGTGCAGAAACTAGCAGAGGACCCCTATGGGGTGTTCGCCCTGGTCCTGACCCCCACCAGGGAGCTTGCCCTGCAAATCGCCGACCAATTTAGAAAACCACCACCTCACTTTCTCCTCCCTCTGCATCCCTGCACCCGCCCTGCCCTGATCTCTGCAGAAGCTAGCAGAGGATCCCTATGGCGTGTTCGCCCTAGTCCTGACCCCCACCAGGGAGCTGGCTCTTCAGATCGCTGACCAGTTCAACAACCCCTTTTTCCCTCCTCACCTGCTTCCCTTCCCTCTGCACCCTTCCACCCGCTCTGCCTTGATCTCTGCAGAAGCTAGCAGAGGACCCTTATGGCGTGTTCGCCCTGGTGCTCACCCCCACCAGGGAGCTCGCCCTGCAGATTGCCGACCAGTTCCGGGCTCTGGGCTCGTCGCTGTCTCTGGGCTGTGCCATTGCTATCGGTGGGGGTGACATGGTGGAGCAGGTGAGAATGAGGGCGTGGGTTTTTGGGGTTGAGTGTACGATGCGCCCTGGAGTTGTTTGTCGGTCTTCATTTTTTTTTTTTTAAGTCGACTCAAAAGGGGTGCTGTCGCGACTGGGGGGAAAGAGGGAGGTTGCTCCGTCCGGGGCATAAAGATGAGAGCTGAGTAGGGCATGCATGGGGATTCGGTGTTTGGTTCTCTGGAGCGTTTTAGTTCCTGAGTCATCTCCCTCTGTGCATTGCATGCCTGCTATTGGAGGGGCTGTGGCTGACGTGCTAGCTACAGATGGCATTACCTGTGCGCATTCATCCGCAAATGCAACTGTCCCCACTCGCCCACCTTTTGAGTCGACTCAAAACGCAAATGCAACTGTCCCCACTCGCCCACCCCTCTCCCCTGCCCCTCTACCCTCTCCCATCTCCCGCCTCTCCCCCTGCCTGCCTATTCAGGCCATGCAACTAGCGAGTAGGCCGCACGTGGTGGTGGCAACGCCGGGGCGACTGAGGGAGATGCTGCAGCAGGAGGAGAGCATGGGACGAATTTTCAGCAACCTCCAGGTGGGTGGGTGGGTGTGGCGTGTGGGAGAACCAACCAGCCTCCAGTCAGCATAACAGGGCGGTATGTGTGTAACAAAGTAATGTGTGCAGGAAGGGGCGCCTCAATGCCTGACTGAGGGAGATGTTGGAACAGGAGGAGAGCATGGGGCGAGTTTTCAGCAACCTGCAGTGCAGGTGGGTGAGGCTGGTATGCATGGAGCAGGGTCGGATGGGAAGCTCATTCAATTGCTTTGAGACGCCTCAAAACACTTCTTCAATCATGAGGCTGGTATGCATGGAGCAGGTCGGATGGGAAGCTCATTCAATTGCTTTGAGACGTCTCAAAACACTTCTTCAATCATGAGGCTGGTATGCATGGAGCAGGGTCGGATGGGCAGCTCATTCAATTGCTTTGAGACGTCTCAAAACACTTCTTCAATCATGAGGCTGGTATGCATGGAGCAGGGTCGGATGGGCAGCTCATTCAATTGCTGCTCATTCTATTGTTCCCTTGTTGCTGCTTGCTTTCCCTCCCCCCTCCTCCTTTTCTTGATTGTCTGCTTTTCGCAGTTCTTGGTCCTGGACAAGGCCGATCGCCTGCTAGACCAAAGCTTCGAGGAGGAAATAGTGCCGATTCTGTTTCCCTTCTCCCCGCCTCCCCCTCATTCGCATCTCCTTATTCGCCTCCCTCTCTCCCCGTCCCGGCAGTTCTTGGTCCTGGACGAGGCCGATCGCCTGCTAGACCGAGGCGTCGAGGAGATAGCGCCAATTCTGTTTCCCTCAACGCCCCTCTCCCGTCCTCCTCCCCCCTGCCGCCCTCCTCCCCCCTGCCTTCGCTCATCTGTGCTTCCTTCCCTCACCTGCTCCCCCGTCCTGGCAGTTCCTGGTCCTGCGCGAGGCTGATCGCCTGCTGGACCGAGGCTTCGAGGAGGAGATAGGGGCGTTTATACGTTCCCCTCCCCCCCTGCTCCCTGCCGCCCCCTCCCATCCGTATCTCATTCCCTCTCCTGATCTCTCCCTTCCTGGCAGTTCCTGGTTCTGGACGAGGCCGATCGCCTCTTGGACCGAGGCTTCAAAGAGGAGTGTGGGGCGATTCTCTTCGAAGAGGAGTGTGGGGCGATTCTCTTCGATCCCCTTCCCCCCTCCTGCCCCGCCGCCGCTCCTCATCTCTCTCTCCTTCAACTCCTCGCCCGCCCTCCCTCCCCGCAGTTCTTGGTCCTGGACGAAGCCGATCGCCTGCTGGACCGCGGGTTCGAGGAGGAGATAGGGGCGATTCTGGCGAGGATGCCGAAAGAGAGGCAGACGCTGCTCTTCTCAGCCACTTTCACTGCCAACCTTCATGCGCTCAAGGTGTGTTCCATGCACTCCAAGTGTGGCCGGCCTCCTATTGGACAGAGGCTTTGAGGAGGAGATAGGGGCGATTCTGGCGAGGATGCTGAAAGAGAGGCAGACGCTGCTGTTTTCAGCCACCTTCACCGCCAATCTGCACGCTCTGAAGGTGTGTGTAGAACGCCCTTCAGGTGGGTGGCAAGTCTACACGTAGTAGCAGCATGTGCCCCTCAACTCTGCCCCCTGCACTGCTGACAGCCTGGATCCCCAAAGAGAGGCACTCGCTGCTGTTCTCACCAACCTTCATCCCATCCCCCACTTTCTGCGCACTGTACTCTGTGCACTCCGTACACACACATGCAGGCTATGAGCAAAACGAAGAAGCTGTTTCACTTTGAGGCCTACGAGGGATTCAAGACAGTCGAGGCCCTCGATCAATCCTACCTCTTCCTGCCCTCCAACGTGCGAGACGTGTACCTCTGCCGCCTCCTCTCCCGCCTCCTCCCCTCCCTCTCCACCATCCTCTCCCCCGCGCCGCCCCCCTCCTCATCTGCTGCCGCCCGCCCGCCCGTGCGGTCGGTTATCGTGTTCACCTCGTCATGCCAGTAAGCAAACTCAAACTGGGAATTGTGATGCGGTAGCAGGTGTTTTGAAAGGGTGCTTCCCCTTCCCCGCCTCTGCTGCTGCACGCCCACCATGTGCTCTCTGTCATCGTGGCGGCCCTTGTGAGATGACCGTTGAGTCGACTCAAAACTCCCCTTCCCCGCCTCTACTGCTGCACGCCCACAATGTGTGCTGTAATCGTGGTGGCCCTTGTCCCACTCGCCACTGCCTAGGCCCAATGTCTCCTACTCCTGCCTATGTGCGGATTTTGTTTTGGATTTTTTTACGCCTCTAGTCTCGGTTTGTGTCGCTCCTCCTGCCAATCAGCCTTCCAGCATTTCCTTGGTTTTTTTTTTCGGAAAGATCTGAGCCCAAAGTCTCTTGCCTAATTGGTCGGCTACTGCCCATCGGTTCATGCCTCGGGTTTCCTGTCCCCCTCTTCCCCGCCTCGCCCTCTCCATTTTCGCCTTCCCAGATCCTGCCAGGCTGTCAGTGCGCTGCCCTCCTCCCCCAGCACATGACTTGGCATACCTGCAGCGCTTCAAGGCCCCTCAACGCTCTGCTTCGTCCTCTTTTCTCCTCCTCTCACCCAATCCCCATGTGCCAGGTCCTGCCAGGCAGTGAGCGCTCTGCTGGACGAAGTGGGTCTCTCCAACGCGCCTCTCCACGCCCTCCTCCCTCAGCGCAAACGCTCAGCCGCTCTACACCCTTTCAAGGCTGCTCAAATCCTCCCTCCTCTCCCTCTTATCTCCCCTGAACGCCCCAATCTTTCAGGTCATGTCAAGCAGTGAGTGCTCTGCTGGACGAAGTGGGTCTCTCCAACGCGCCTCTCCACGCCCTGCTGCCCCAGCGCAAGCGCTCGGCCGCTCTGCACCGCTTCAAGGCGTCCCAAGTGCCCATCCTGGTGGCCACTGATGTCGCCAGTAGAGGGCTGGATATTCCTACAGTCGATTTAGTCATTAACTACGATATACCCAGGTGAGAAAATGGGCGCACGGCTGGTTTATTATCACAGTATCGTGGTGGCCACAGACGTCGCCAGCAGAGGGCTGGACATTCCGACTGTGGATAAGGTTATCAACTACGACATCCCCAGGTGAGTCCACTCATCACACTTCACTTCACTTCAGTCGTACCCACATCAGTGTGCTTCAAGGCGTCAACCCAAGTGCCCATCCTGGTGGCCACAGACGTTGCCAGCAGAGGGCTGGACACTCCCACTGTTGATCTGGTGATCAACTACGATATCCCCAGGTGGGTTCTCTCATGATCTTGGTTACAGCTTGGAGTGTGCTTACAGCACTCGAGGCGTCCCTCCCAAGTGCACATCCTGGTGGCCACAGACGTTGCCTGTAGAGGGCTGCACATTCCCACTGCACTGCACTGTTTCATCTAGTACAATATTCCCAAGTCCGTCCGCTGGCCTTTGATGTACCTCACTCTTTCACTCTTCCTGCTCATATCCCCTGCCCCACCCCCCACCCCATCTGCAGGTTCACCCTGTTGTTGTGCATCGGGTGGGGCAAACAGCCCGAGCAGGGAGGCGATGTGTGAGGCACTTGAAGAAACGCCTTACCCCTCTCACCCTACCCTGTCACCCCAGCCCCCACCCCACCCTTCAGGTTCACCCGGGACTATGTACACAGGGTGGGGCGAACAGCCAGAGCACCCCATCCCATCGTATCTGCCCACCCCATCGTATCTTCCCACCCCATCGTATCTGCCCACCCCATCGTATCTGCCCACCCCATCATATCTGCCCACCCCCCAGGTTCACACGGGACTATGTACACAGGGTGGGGCGAACAGCCAGAGCAGGGAGGGGCGGACGAGCCATCAGTTTAGTGACTCAGGTGAGTGTGACGGTGCTGTAAATATTGTTTGAGTGGTAGCGCTGATTTAGGTAAGCGTGACTGTAATGAATGGTATTGTGAGGACTGTGTGAGGGGCAAGAGTGAGAAGAATGGTGCAAGTGGTGCTCAGGGCAACAGCACTGGGCTGTTAAAGCCATGCCTGCTGCAGCACTTCTCATTCCCCCTCCCTCCCTCCCTCCCTTCCTCTTTCTTCTGCCCCCCTCTCCCTCGTTACCACAGTACGACGTGCATCTGGTGCACAGCATTGAGAAGCTCATTGGTCGACAGCTGGCGGAGTGTTCTGATAAGCGCAGCACAGAGAGGGAGTGCTGATGTGCACTGTGTGCTCTCTCCATCTCCCCACTCCCCATCCCATCCCTCCCCCCACCCCACAGTACGACGTGCATCTGGTGCACAGCATTGAGAAGCTCATTATCGAACATCTCATGTGCATGATTCTCTTTACTCCTCTCCTTACCACCCTCACTCTGTTCCATCCCTCCTTTACGGGCCTACCCCTCCCATGACAGTACGACGTGCATCTGGTGCACAGCATTGAGAAGCTTATTGGCAGACAGCTGGCGGAGTGCACTGATGTGACTGAAGGCGATGTGCTCAAATGCATCAGCAAGGTGAGGGAAAGGAGTGTGATGAGAGGAGATGTGCTTTAATTACATCAAGCTGAGTGGAAGGAGTGTGACTGAAGGCGATGTGCTTAAATGCATCAGCAAGGTGAGGAGGAAGGAGTGTGCCAGCCTGAACAAGGGGAGATGGCTATTGTGCCGTTTCTCTCTGTTAGTGCGTGCCTGCTTGCATCCTTTTCTCTCGCTGGTGTCGCTGGTGCATGGAAGGCTCGTAAAGGGGTGCTGTTGTGACCTTTTTTGTTATACATTTTGTGTTCTTAAATTTCTTCGCTTTTTCTCCTTCCCCAGGTGTTCAAGGCACGGAGGGCAGCTCTACTGAAGGTGTCAGAAAGTGGGTTTGAGGAGCGGGCCAAGCAGAGGGCCGATCAGAAGAGGAAGATTCGGGAGGAGCGAAGAGAGCGGGAGGGGGGTGACAAGGGCGAGAAAGGCAAGTGAGGAAAGGTGGTTTAGGTTAGGGGAGATCAGTGCTGTTGCAGATGGCAGAGAGAGAGTTTGAGGAGCGCGTTGATTTGAGCAGAGGGCAGAGCAGAAGCAAAAGATTTGGGAGGAGCGAAGAGAGCGAGAGGGGGTGGGAAAGGCATGAAAGACAAATGAGGGGGGTTCTGGAGGGACGAGAAGCGCTGCTAAAGGTGTCAGAGAGTGGGTTCGAGGAGTGAGCGAAGCAGAGGGCAGAAAAGAACAGGAAGATCCGGGAGGAGCGGAGGGAACGAGAGGGGTGGTAATGCGAAGTAGAGGAGATGGATTATGGATTTGAGGCGATCAGTGCTAAGGTTTTATTGGGAGGGGTCGAGGAGAGGGAAAAGCAGATGACGGAGGCAAGGAGCATTGGAGAGAAGTTTGTATGATTCACATAAAAAATGCCAGGGTCGAGAAGGTAAAGTCGTACTACTTAGGATGGGAACTTCCTGTTGTGAAAGTCGTAGCGGAAGTCTTATATGAGTTAAGCCAGTTGTGAAGGCTTTGTCTAGACTTAATAAAGTCTATGTAGTGATATGTTTCAGGATCAAAATGTCTCTGAAATCAGATATATTATAAAATGACAAACATACAAAATATATAGCTAGAGTAAAGTACCTGTTCGCCTACTGTACTGTGCTGTTCTTATCTTGAAACAGTACGTAACTTTTCGCGAAGTCTATAGCTACGTGCTGGCGTCATCCTAGGTCGAGTAGCGCTCTGCTGACGTCAGCCTAACGGTACTTTACTGTACTACACGAATTTCCTTGAAGTGCTTTACGTCTCGATATTATCTCAACACTCCCCTTCACTTCTAGGAGTTCGGTGTAGTTTAAGCGGTTGTCTCAGAAACGCCGCTGAGCTCGTTGCAGTGGTGGAACTTCTGTCGTGTCAGCTTCTTGGTAAGTGAATCAGCTGCCATGTCGTTAGTGGAGCAGTAGACAAGACGCATCCTCCCTTTGTCGATCGCGTCTTTGACGAAAAAGTAACGTAGTGAGATGTGTTTCGTGCGATTGACGAAACCAGGTTTGTTGGCGATGGTAATCGCACTTTGGTTGTCGCACTGCAACGTAAACTGATTCGGCGTGACGAACTTCGCTTCGTCGAGCAGTTCCTGTAAGTATAGTCCTTCTCGAGTTGCAGCGCACGCAGCAATGAATTCTGCTTCAGCTGAAGAAAGTGACACCAGTTCCTGTTTCGATGAGTTCCATGAAATTGGACCAATGGGCTCGAGACGAAAAATGTAGCCTGTTCGTGACCGGCGATCTGACGTGTCACCAGCGTGGTCTGGGTCAACATATCCGCTGAGGTACATTTTGTCGGTCGTTTTTCCTGTGTTGAAAATCAGCCCGACTGTTGGTGTTGCAACAAAATAGTGTAGAGCGCGCTGAAGATCGAGATGATGTTCTTCTTTTGGGCAGCGTAAAAACTGTGCGAGATAACTTGCGACGTACGCAAGGTCGGGACGACACGTGACTGCTGCGAAGAGAAGGCACCCGAGTTGCTGCTGGTACAGTTGTAAACCAGCTGCCGAAAGTTTGGTGTCGTTGAAAATGTACCCAGTGGGTGTAGACCGAAACGATGTAGCGACGTAACTTGTAGGAATCTTGAAGCGCTTAGCGAGTGACTCAGCATACTTCGATGCTGTGAGGTGGATTGCGGAAGAAGTTCGCGAGATGTTTAACCCAAGAAATTGGGTTACTTCGGTAGAAACGGTTAAGTCAAGGGACTTTTTCAAATCTGCTTCGATGCGATCACCCAGAGAAGCTGTAGAACTTACGTAGAGAATATCATCCACGTAAGCCACGAGTAGTGCGTAGCTCCCCTTGTCGTCTAGCCGATACATTCCAGGATCATGTGGCAGTTGTCGGAACCCAACCTCTGTAAGTTTCCTGTTCAAATGCTGTTGCCACAGTCGCGGTGCTTGTTTGATGCCATACAGTGATTTTTTGAGCTTGCAGACACTTGGCGGATTTGTCGAAAATGTATGCGGATATTCGACGTAGATTTCGGCATCGACGTCAGCGTGTAGAAACGCGTTGGAGACATCAATTTGTCGAAGCGGAAAATTCTTCGTAGCTGCTTCGCAGATAACGAGACGAACACTTGTGTGTCGGCTGACCAGGGCGAAAGTTAGAGTGTAGTCAACCCCATGAGTTTGGTCAAAACCACGAACAACCCACCTTGCCTTATGTTTTTCATAAGAGCCGTCAGCTTTCGTCTTCACCCTGAAGACCCATTTTCCGGTAAGAATATTTTTATTTGTAGCTTTTTCGATGGGTATGAGATCCCAAGTCTCCCGTTTTTCCAGGGCAGCCAATTCACGATCCATGGCTTCACGCCATTTTTCGCGATGTGGTCCTGAAAGGGCATGTCGGGCAGTTTTCGGTTCTGCTTCTGAAGAATTATGCTGTACTGCTGCTGCGAGTCCCAGTATCTGAAGCCCAGTTTGATGTGAAGAATGAAACAGGAAATGGATGAACTAGGAAAGTGTGAGATACAAATATGAAAGCTGTACCCCTTAGTGTCTACCCCACTACAGCCTACATAGGCTAAGGCATATATATCTGACACACCCCCATAGGCAAAGTGGGGGAGAACTAGGGGTCAAAAGACCAATCAAGCAAAGCAAAGCAAAGCCAAGCAAAGCAAAGCAAAGCAAGCTCAGGGTGGATGACAACGTCACCACACAGTCTGAGCACAGGTTCAAAGGCCATAAGGCCAGTTCACATGCAAGTTCATATATAAAGGTAAACAAGCAAGTGCAGGTATATAGAGATCACAGTACAAGTAAACTCAAGAGGTAAGCAAGTGAGGCCAAGTAGGCACAAGACCGAGCATAGTACAGAAGCGCTGATGATCACAAGGCTGAAGTGCCTTGGTAAAGATATCAGCAGTGTTGGCCTGAGAGGCCACGTAAGCAAGGCGCAGCTGACCACGCTGCTGCAGCTCACGAGCAAGGAAGTAGCGAAGAGCAATGTGCTTCGTTCTGTGCTCCAGTCTGTGCTCCCGACACAAGGCCAGCATAGCCTTGTTGTCTACGTACAGAACTGGAGGAGAACGAGGCGGCTCTCCCAGGTCAGTCAGCAAGTAGGTGAGCCAGCGTAACTCCTGTGCAGCCATGGCCCCTGCGTAGATCTCAGCCTCACAGCTGGAGCTGAGAACAGAAGACGAGCGAGTAGACCGCCACGAAACAGAGCCGGAACCAAGGCTGAAGGTGTAACCCTGTGACGACCGCTGCGTAGCCAGGTCGTCAACCCAAGACGCGTCTGCGTGACCAGTGAGGACCACTGGACTCCGCCCTCCAAGCACTAGCCCCAAGCCTGAAGTACTGCACAAGTAGCGCAACACCCTCTTCGCTGCAGCCATGTGCTCTGGTCGGTGTCTCCCAGGAGCAACATAGCGTGCCAGAATGCTCAGAGGGTATGCTAGGTCAGGTCGAGTGCAGGTCATCAGGTACATGAGGCAGCCAACAAGCTCTGGGTACGGGCCACTCGGCTCTACGGACTCATCCGAAGGCAGAGCTGAGAGCGAGTGGCGAGTAGACAGAGGAGTGGCCTGAGGCGAGGAGTACGTGAAGTCGAAGCGCTGAAGGACCTGCTGCACCATGCGTGACTGAGTCAAGGTAATGGTGCGCCGTGCTCTGTCCCGGGTGATCTGCAAGCCAAGATAGTTGCGCAGTTCACCCAGGTCTGTGCACGTGTGTCTCTTCTGCAGCTCGGACTTCACGTGGGCGAGTCCAGCAGTGTCAGCTGTAGCAAAGACCAAGTCGTCGACATACACGAGGATGTAGAACGGCGGCAGCAAAGTGTCGGTGCGAAGAAACAGCGACGGGTCAGCAGTGGAAGGAGCAAACCCAAGAGCCGCAAGCGTAGTCCTCAGTGTGTCGTGCCACTCACGTGGCGCCTGGCGGAGACCGTAGACTGGCCGCCGGAGGCTCCACTGGGTACCAGGAGGAAACGACCCAGTGAAGCCAGGTGGGCGGCGCAGCCAGATCTCCTCGTGCAGACTGCCCTGTAGGAAAGCAGTGCTGAAGTCAAGGGAGTGAAGCTCGTAGTCACGCTGAGCAGCAACGTGCAGCAGAACCCGAAGAATGGTCATCTTCGGGGTCGGGGAGAAGGTCTGAAAGTAGTCAACTCCCTGCCGCTGACTGAAGCCTCGAGCCACGTAGCGCGCCTTGAAGACAGGCGGAGAACCCGGCGGCCGCTTCACCCTGAAAATCCACATGCCACTGACGATGTTCGCCCCAGGTGGGGGAACCTCGTCGACGTAGGTGCCTGTGGACTTCCGGGAAGCCATCTCTGCGTCCATGGCTGCCTGCCACTGAGAGGAGTAAGGACCCTCTATCGCCTCTGCGTAAGAGCGCGGGGTCGGGATGTCTGGTGCATCCGGGTCTCCCCGTCGCGCAGGTAGAGGGGAGGCCAGCTGTAACTGTGACTCGGACTGGACAGGTGGAGGACACGCTAAGGAAGGAGCGCGACGGGGAGGTAGAGACCAGACAGGGAGCCTGACGGGGCCGCCGGACACGGGAGGACAGTGGAGTAGCGAGCAAGGACAGGACCCCCAGAGGGGTCTGCCAGGGAGACCGCAACCGGCCGAGTGAGCGGCGTAAGGGTGGTGCGGTCTCGAAAGAAGGAGCGGGAAGCACCCGAGTCGAGGGTGAAGGTGTGAAAGACCTGAGCCGACTCGGTACCTGAGAGAGCAGACTCACCAGCACCTAGAGGAGCAGACTCACGAGTACCTGGAGCAGCAGACTCACTAGCACCTAGAGCAGCAGCCTCAATACCAGGGTCAGGCGGAACACACACGTAACAGTCACCCTCAGCACTAATAGACACAGCATACATGGCAGCAAGAATAGCATCAAAGTCAAGATCAAAGATAGCTACCCCCGACCTGAGCAGATCACTCCAACGAGGGATCTCAGTGGCGTCTGGGAACTGGGCACACCAGGCGTCCGTCAGGCGACCGAAGCAGCG